TTGCCTTTTCCTCTGGCTGTGACTGCAGCACGCTCCCCACTCGGAGGGGCGGCCCAGCAAACCTGATACTCTGCCATTCTCTGCCAGCACGTGCCGAAATTAGTTCTCCATTTGGTGGTGGCCCTCTGAGAGCAATTCCCATTGAGAAGGGAACAAAGGCCGCGACCCCGGGGTCAGAGTGTAATGCAGGAAGCATGACCTCCCCTTTGTTCACAACAGCACTGTTTACTCTGCCTAAGTAAAGATCACCAATACATTAACTAAAGAGGATTAAAAAGGTCATATCCCCAGGGATGGAGCTCACGCAAGTGGCAACTCTCTTCAGTCACTAAATCATTTGACTTCCCACTACCCCCCTTCAAAAAAGAGACACCTTACGCTGCCACAGCTCAATGTCATGTTATTTCCAGAGCCAAAGGCCGTACAAATTCCTCTTTCACACCCAGGTTAATTTCTGCACAGCTAGCCAGCTGTTTTGGAGTAATTTTTAAAGTTATCAAAATATTTTAAGTGAAAACTATCACCTCAATACAATTTTCCCCTTTCTATCTCCTTCTGAAAATTTCTGAGTTGATTTATAAAATTGTTTGTCTTATGGTTATTAAAAAGTGCAATTTTTTGTAGCTATTATAAAGGAGATGTTTAAAATATTCTGTAGCCTGTGGATGGCAGAGAATGTGCCTGTTGCTGTAGACAGTCACTAACTCCGTGATGGTTCACGTGCAAAGAGGAGAGCAAGGCAAACAAACTGAAAGGATGCTACCTATGAAAATTCACATATGCTGACAGCTGAGCTTTGCTGGGCTATAGAAGCACTTCTTTTGGCTATTAAGCTTCCTCTTATCAACTTTTTTATAATACCTTTGAACATCATTATTAATATGAATATTAACAGAAGCATCTCTTGAAACAGCTAAATTAATGCTGCCTTGGTAAAATATGGGAGGCAACCCAGCCAGTTGGAGAGGAGTGCCTCCCTCCTCTGCTCCCCTCTAATCCACCAGCCTGCTGGATGATCCCAGCTTTTCCTTTGCACCTCGGTTTCCTCGTCTCTGGGGATGTGGCTCACTGGGAGGCAGATTTTACCATCACTTACTCGGCCAGGCTGGGAGGAAGAGAGCATTTGGAAGGGAGTGGTCTAGACAAGATATTTTCCCTTCTCCACCCTCAGGCAGCAGCACCTCTGATGAAGCTGAACATTATGTTAGAGGTTCCAGAAGAAAATCCCAGGAATAAAGCCGGGCAGGCAGGGCAAGCTCTTGATCCCAGTGTCTGGCACAGGGAGCTCAGCAGCAGAGACAGAGCCCAGCCGGGGTCAGCGCAGCTGAAAGCAGCACCAGATCCCCACCCAGCACAGCAGCAGCTGGGAAAGCAGGACCAGCAGTGCCAGAGCCAAAGAACGAGGTCCTGGAGCACCACGGTACGGCAGGGATTGCAAGGACAGGGCTGGGAGGTGAGCAGTGGGCAAGGACAACGGCAGCACCGAGCAAAGCTTTGGAACGGGCTGAGGCAAAGAGGGGCCTTGTCCAGAAAGCAAAAGCACTGCACTGAAACAACCAGAACAAAGAATAGACTTAGACATTAATATCTGACAACGGAGATTGGGAGCATAAGGACTGAACCAATGACATAAGGACAATTTACTGACATATATCAGAAGCTGGAAGACTGCACAACAGTTGTCTGGCAAGTCTGAAATTACTGGGAAACAAAGGGAGTGCAGAAAGAGGACAAAAAACACAGCAGAAAAGGTAATGGCTGATGATGACCTTGAGCTGTTTAGTCATACAAAAGAGGAACCCATCCCTTCTCACCCTGTATGACCATATTGACATTTCTTGTTAGCTGGGTTCCTGATCTGGGGTATTCATAAAAAAATATAATATCTCCATTACTTCTTCCAGTGAAAACTCCTAGTCTTTTCCAGTTCTTGTTCACCTTCTCACCAGCCAGCAGCACTCTCCCTCCAAGATGGGAAGCAACAACAACACTACGAAGTTATAGAATGAGATGTCCCTTCTCTTGAACAGGAAAACAGAGAAAACGTGACTTTGTGACACAGAATTCTTGTATAGTCAATTTTTTTGGGGGGTGGAGCAATCGTGACCCTACCTCATATTCTGAGATACACCCCTTTATCTCCTGATGTCCAGAAATCCAGACAGACCCAAAGGTACCTTTTAGGTTAAAAAGAAGTTATCAGGCTTAATACAGATGGAAAACTCTATGATATTCAAGTCGTCAAATTGTTCCCCCTCTGGTCCCTTCAAACAGCAAATCCCATTAATCAATTCTTTTGCAAGTAAAGGGTGAAAGAGCAGCAGATAGCAAAGCAGAAAGTGCTGAAATAATGGGATAAATTAAAGGCAAGCCACTCCAAGGACACAGGCAGGCTTTCGGAAGCAGCTCAAGGTTGGAGGCAGGGTTCCCAACAAAAATCTGCACTCTCCCATCAGGAATGAAAGGGTAGCAGTCCTCAGAAATAGCCCCAAATGATGATCCAGATTACATGCCAGTGAATTCTGTGACTTAGGAAACCGTCTGGAAGGCTACTTTAAAAGATTATAATTTTAATGCCTGAGCAGGGATTAGATAATGGAGAGAAAAACAGCCTTGCTAACATAATGAAAATATGTCTTTTTTCACTTGGGGTGCACCCACAGAAGAAATGATTATTTAGTTGGCCTTTCAAAAGGGCTTTGACAACGTGACTCACCAAGGCCACAAAGAAAACGCACTAATCGTGACAAAGTTGGAATCATGATTGAAACCCAGCTAAGCAGCCAAAAGTAAACTGCAGGAATGAAAAGACATTTTGACACGAGAAAGGTTACTAGTTGCTCCATGCAGAAGTCATGCTGGTATCAACTTTTACCTTTAGCTAGTGGCCTAGAAAGATCAGCTGTAAAATAAGAGTGGCAAAACCGACAGGCGAGGGGAGGGTATTGGGTAACTGAGGGGTTTAACAAAGTTGAGTCAATGTGAAACATGGTAAATATTTTTTTTTATAATGGCAACATTCTCGAAGGGAAGAGAGCTGGGTGCCCATAAGAAGTTGACCAAAGCTGTCAGGGATACGCAGCAACGTCAGATAAGCCAAGCAGGAAAACAGGCTCCTGTATCCAAAACCTTACTCTTCTACTCTCCCCCTGCCAGGCAGACACCTTCCTGGAGAATGCCAGCTGCAGTTCTTGCAGTCCCTCACTACAGCTACAGCAGTCACAGGAGTGCAAGGGCAGGTGACAAACAATAGGACTTACAAGAGACTGCCACATATGGGGAAAAAGTAATCAAACTATGCTGGTGAGCACGTGAGCAACAGGGAAGGCAACAGACACAGTTTGAAAGTCAGGAACTATAGCCTGACTCCCACCTGCTTCCAGTCCTGAATGGGAAATTACTCAGCTAAATTAAAAAAGCAGTAAATTTAAACTATGGGAATATATTATTTTACAACATGCAGACTGAGCACATGAAAATCAGCCCATCATTAAGGGACATCAGTGGGAACCTGAAAGAACAGAGTTCTACACGTAGCCTACAAAAATACAGTGTTAAACGGGATTGCTGGGTGGAAAGACCATAAAAAAAGGCACAAAGCCACGGTGCAGACACTGGCCAAGGGATCCACCTAGCCCACTTCCTGACAAGGACAGGGTATTCCAGAAGGATCCCATGTTGGTTATCTTCGCCCTCCACTCTCTTACCACGCAACCTTTTGTAAAAACAGTCAGGGTACACTTGGCATGAATTAGCACGAGGAGTTGAGCAGGACAGTGATTTACCCCTCTGTTCTGTATGGCCAGAGGAAAGGCAAAGCAGGAGCCCAGCTCCCTCAGCCAGCCAGGGCTCCCCCAGCACTGCCAGTGCATCACTCAGGCTCACAAAACACCTCACACCCTGCCTGGCTGCTGTGCCACCTGCTCTCATGCCCCCACAAATAATTAGCGAGAGCCTCAATCGTAAGACACTGTTTTACCAAATAAATACAGTTCCTTTTTTACACCTTACTATCTTTTTTCCCCATCCACGCATCATTATTTGCAAAAACCATTTAATAAGGATGAGAGGTTCCAAGATGTGTGTCAGATCCTGGGATATTGCCACTCACATGGTGGTTTGCTACACTCAGCCTTTGGTCTTGTGGCTCACAATTCACCCGAGCTGCGAGCACAGCTCACCACAACCCACACACTGCTGCTCCTCAAAGGAAGACAAGGGTACATAATTAAGAGATGATGAGCTCAAATGTAAGACAGGAGATGTGGGAGCAGATTCTGTAACCACACCGGTGAGTGGTTTTACTACTAAAGAAGTTTCTTCAGCTCCATCTTCCCTCACAGTACCAGTAGAACTCACAGATTTTTAAAATACATTTGCAGCAGCAGAGGAAAAAAAAAAATGACTGCTACAACCATGCCAGTGCAGAAAAATAGTTAACATCAATCGTATGGAATTAAGATTGTAAATCAGCATTATTAACAAATTGCCCTTGTAATAAGTGTAGACAATGTCTTAAAAAAAAAATACAGTTTTACTAAAAATACCATCAAAATCTCATCCCACAAGAATTGCAACCTGAAAATATTCTCACAAAGTCTTTCCAAGACTCTGTGATCCTGTAACCATGGCCATAATATAAAGAACTATGGACAGAAATATCTGTGTGTCATGTGCCAGCTGGGGGACTAATGGCATGGAAATGAAAATCCAGAAGTGGGTACAGATCCACCCTGGAGGATCAGTCCCTCGCTGGTTATTCAGAATAAACAAAAAGTCAAACCACTTTTCTTATTATTTCGTAGAGCTGAAACGAGTTTTTGTTGTTCTTACCGTGACTTATCAGTGAGAGAGTTGAGAAGTCTGGAGCAAAACAAGGTGTGAGTACAGCTCCCAAACTCAAGTGAGGACCACTGCCTGACCCTCAGAGACTGGCACAAGCAATAACAGGATTACATGCTCACTTGTTTTCCAATTTAAAAAAATAAGTTTAGTTTTACCTAAAAGGCAGCTCCGTTCTGTCCTGATGAACGTCCCATGTCCACAAGGCAGTGACCCTCTGCAGAGCCAGAGCCTTCCAGCAGCAGCCACACCCTCCTCTTCCTCATTTTTTTCCACTGACCATAAAATACTTTCCAAGCCAGGCCCTGAAAAAAACAAACCAAAACAAACCCCACATTTTTAATGGACACCAGATATCACACTGCTGATTTAATCAGGCAGATTAGAAACAAATCAACGTATTTTCACACACATTTTTATTTTCTGTTTCATTTCAAAGCAGTTCAGTAGGCTTGATTTGGCTCTCTATTCAAACCAGAGGCAAAAACCCCTGAAAAGGTGTTGTGTGCTGAGGGCAGAACCAAGCCCTCCAGCTGTCTTTTTTTCGAGTTTCACATAACACATTGTCCATTGGTACAGGAAAAATTCACAAGCCAGGGGCTTTGCAGAGCACCTTCAGACAAGCCCATATATTCTGTAGCAGTAACAGATGCCAGCACGAGACAAGCTGAGAGAGACACCCCCGAGGTTGTCTCCTCAGTCCATGGGGTTCTAGGGATTGGACACTCAGGCAGATCTAACTCTGACTTTTTTTAAAGGGAGGGGGGAAGTAAAACTTTCCTGGCCTCTGTAACTCTCCCAGATTATCAAATCATTGGGATCACAGTATCTGCAGCACAGTTAATAATGACTCTGCACAGCAAGTATCACACAACACGTTTTTACTCTTATTACCAATATTTCACAGCATTTATTTGACTGGTAATTCGGCCATACAGAGAACTATCTGGAAACTGATTGTTGCTATAAACTGTTTTGCATATTGTGTCATCTGCTGGCTTTAATTCATTAGCTAAACAACACTGTAATTATACATTTCATATTCTATTTAACTAGAGAATATTCACACAAACACAAAGTGATAAAACCAACTTCCTCCCGTATCTCAAAACCCACCCACTTATTTGCAAATAACCAGCTCCAGCATTCAACAAAATACAAATACTTAGGGTTCAAAACACAATCTTTAGGGTTCAGCAACTTAAGCTCAATTTTCTTTTGCAAACAACTGTACATATATATTTTTGTTCTGCTATTATTAGGTCTGGAAAATTAATATTAAAATAAGCTGCTTGATCATTTAAATTTAGAACTAAATAAGCAACCTGAATCCACGGCTTTATGATATTATCCTTGCTGACAGAACAAATTAATCTTAAAACGGGAACACAGGCTATGCTGAGATGTCTGTCAGGGGATGACAGTGTATATTACAGGTAGTATACTAAATCGTGCCAAATCCAAAAGAATTCTGTAAGCCCAGGCCCTTCTACATATTTATTCATGTACAATTCCATACCCACAAAAAAAGACTGTTATAAGCAGGTGATCAAGTCGTCAAGGTGTTGTTCCCAGTTTCATTCAGTCCTGCATCCTAACAGGTTTCCCATAAGAAATTCTGAAACCTCAAAGCCTGCCTAGTGCTGGATTTGCACACACACAGTAAAACAGAATTCACTTGCAGAGTGTACCAATGCTTAAGTATTTGCAGGCACGTTTATTCTCACCGAAATCTTAGTTCTCTAACCCGCAGAATATCAGGTGAGATGTGTTCCTCCCATCAGACTGGTGTCTCCAGAACACCACTACTTTTAAATCCAAATACGCAGCAAGGGAAATGCCAGCACTTTCCCATTTTACTCCCTACAAAGATTCCCCCTGCGAGCCCTCCCAGCCCTGTATTCCGTATGAGAAGAGCACACTTACTCCAGGCTGCATTCCTATTTACGGAGATGCTCTGCAGTGAAGGAGCAAACAGGGATCCAAGGGTTAACCGAAGGGAAAAAACAAAACCAAACCAACAAACCCCAGCACCGAAATGCCCAGCCATGCTGCAGACCGTGCAAGAAAAGGAAAATGTTCAGCAGACAACAGCCTAACAAAAGGCAAACAGAATTTAGTGCCACTATTGCCTGGATACCAGCTTGGGATTTAGGCAGCCCTGGATTACAAGGACTATTCCCCTGAAAATCCAGCCCACAGTTCCTGCACTGTTTTCTACCAATACCACATCCAAACTGTGACTAAACACCTCATTATGCTCCTCTGGCACTGTCTGAAAGCACACATATTGTACAATTTTCTGGGGCACCTAAAAGTAGAGGGGAAAAAAGCGGCTGTTTTTCACCTCTCAGTAATGAAACGATGAACAGCACATTCCCTGCAAGAGCTCGCACGATCGGGGCATTTTCTTTCCCTCCCCTTTTCTTTCTCTGTAGGCAACAGGTGACAAAATACAGCCCCAACCTTCAACTTGAAAAATAAAAAAATGCGTAGAGTCTACAGGACATCTACACTGTAACACAGTCTTTTTTTATAAATTAAAATTGAATGAAGAGGTTTAAGCAGGCCTCTACATTGGCTTCAGAAAGTAAATGCTTTTCTTAATACTCACTTGTGGAGGTTTCATTTAAAGAAAATACAGCCCTCACAATTACAAATACTAACCAGGGACTTGAGGTAACGATCTGGTCTTGACGGATCTTAAAAGAGAAAACGCAAACTGCATTTTCAAAGGAACTGAATGCCTCAAATATTTCACTACCATCTCCTTTTCCAATAACTTGCTAATTGATCTTAAATACATAGATGAATTATGAGGCAATAACTTGCAATTTTCTTAGCTCTTACTCCAGACAAACATTATATTCTGATTTATAGATATCTGAAATATTTAATTTGCTGTTCATGGCACTTAAACAGTTTATCTAATTTATGAGAAGTAAGGATTCCACATTAAAGATTGCTTCTGTTTTCTCCTTTAAGCTTCACCACTTCAAAAGCGTTTTCCCCGCCTATTATCATTTAGAAATAGTCTCCCTTTGTGCACTGGACATGCTACTGTAGCTCAGGAGGCCGTGGCAGTGACACGATTCTCTTGCCAGTCCCCATGCTGCTCATTAAATAATTTTACTCCCATACGTACACACGCAGCTGGTCAAGAAATGACTTTGCTGCATTCAGCTACATCTAGGGCACTTCCACAGCGAGCCTTGAAATAAAAACCCCACCGAGCTACCAAACCGAGGAGCTTCCCTTGCTGTGCCTTTCCCAGCCTCTCGCTGCTCACGCTCCGTTCCCAAAGCTGAGCTGCGCCGTAGCACCACACCTGCGTCTGTTCGAGCAAAACCCCACCACAACAGGCTAAAAACAGCTCGCTTCTGTTAATGCCCGCTTCTCCAGCCGCTATTAAATAGGCTCTTTCTTTAAAGACAGGATTTCCTGAAATATTTACACGCCTAAAAAACAGCTTTCTGTTTTGGAAAGCTTTGCAATTTCTTCCCTTTGCAAAAATTCAGCTTTGCGGTCCCAGCGAAGAGCTCTGGGTACAGCAGATGGTTAAAATTCTGCATCATTTTTAAGAGCCTCAGAGAAAGCACTGCCTTTTTTCGGGGGAGGGCGGGGGTGGAGGAGAGGAGAGAAAAAAAGCTGAGAACAGCAATTTGCAGCCCTTTTTTTTTTTCCTTGACAGCAGCAAGCCCCGCCTCAGTCTGGCCCTTCCTCCAACCTCTGCTAACCTAAAAACCAGCGCCAGCCTGGCAGCGGGCCAGGGATTCAAAAGTAAACATTATCCTCCTGCCATTTTTTAGTGCTGTTTATCACATCCCGCTCCCTTTTTTTTTTATTATCCCCCCCCTCATCCTAGCTGAAATGCCCGGCTTTGCCCCGGTTCGTGTCTCTCCGAGCCCGCTCCTGCGCTCCGCGGCAAACCTGCAGAGGCGTCCGAGGGATGTCCCTGGCCGGGCCGCGGGCTGTCCTGCACGGAGAGCGGAGCCAGGCGCACCTTTCCCTGGGCATGTCCCGTGGGATGGGGCGGGACGTCCTTCCATCACCACCGCGCGGGCTCTTCCCCGCTCCCCACTCGATGCGCTCGCCTCTCCCAGCGCTGCAGCTGCCGCAGCAAATGCGGGTTTTGCCTCCGCGGCTTCCCCGTTTGCTTATTTAATTGTACCGGGAGCGCTTAAAAACCAAACCCATCCCTAGGCGGCCACAGCCCTGCACCTGACTCTTTGTTATCCCTACCGCTCATCCCCATTCCCGGTCCCTTCCGCTCCGCGCTGCCTCCTCCCATCTTGGGCTGCTCCTGGTTTATAAAGGCTCTGCAAACCCCGACACATTACACCGGCTGCTCGGGGGTGTGTTACCCGCTCCTGCGCTGCCCCGAGCGGATAGCGGGCCCAGCGGCGGGAGAAGGAAAGGACATTTAAAAAATAATAATTAAAAAAAAAAAGGATGAGAAGGAGGGCGGGAAGGAAGGTAACTAAGGCAGGCGTCCCCGGGGAGCGCGGGCGCTGCGGGCGGGGCGGCAGCACGGCCATGTTGTGCGCGGGTCAGCGCGGGGCATCGCCCTCATGGCCCCGGCAAACCCCTCCTGCCCGCCGGGAGCCCTGCCCAGGGCCCGGCCCGGCCGGGGGGCACCGCCGAACAAAAGCGCTGCCTCGTTATTTATTGATGGCCGGGGCGGGTGCGCGCCGGGGAGGAGCCTTTGTGCGCGCCCCGCACCGCCACGCGGGACAGCCCGCGGGCTCATCAATAATTGCTCGCCATCTCCACGCTGCAATCGCGGCCAGCGCATCATTAATTAAGGAGCAGAAAAAGCAAGCGGCGAGCGCGGAGGCCCGGCCGCGTTAACCCCTTCCCGCCCAGCAACTCGCCGGGAATATTAATTAACGCTGCTGTTTGTGTGTCGCTCGGCGACCACGTGAGGCCTCTGGAAAAGGCTCGGAACCATGGACTACTGAACAGAATTTGCTGCAATCCGCTCACCACTTGGGGGAAAAAAAAAACCCGACTTATAAATCTTAGCGTGATTGTAAATTAATGTATTTTCATGCAGCGAGGTAAAATAATATTTACCAAGTTATTTCTATAAAGAGATGTTGCAATTAAAATCCAGTAAAACGTGTAATCTAAAGCCATCCGAGCGCTCCAGACCACGCAAACATTTCCCATGCAGCGCCGGGATTCAGCGGCGCGCGGGGTCGCGGCTCTCGGGCAGCGATGCAGCAAAGAGCATCCATCCAGCCCCACGAGCCAGCCAAGAGCATCCATCCACCCCATGAGCCAGCAAAGAGCATCCAGCCCA